CAAGTTCCAAAAGGCCTCGGCAGCCCAGCCCAGCCATGGTACCTGTCCCAGTTGGACATCTGGCTCTGGTTGGCCTCCATGAGCAGGATGTCATCGATCTCGTCCTCGATGCGGAACGGGTGCTGCGACACCGGCTCGTCCTCGGGGCAGGAGTAGGGGCTCATGTAGGGGTGCTGCAGGCCCATCTCGGCCGTCAGCCGGTCCATGGGGTTAAATGTCAGAATTTTCTCCAGAAAATCAATGGCTGTGAGGCAGAGACACACAAGCTCACCATTCCTCAAAAGCAGAAATAGCTCCCTTGTCAGGACAAGCCTCACGGAGCCCACCCAGCAAATCCCCCTGGAGCAAGGGATGAGTTAAAGGCCACCCCAGGTCAACCCAAACCAGGCACTTCTGTCCTTGCTGGGGTCCCCTGCCCCTCATGGAGCTGTGAGCTTGCGGGGAGCAGCCCTGCAGCCCCCAGGTGTCACCTCCTGTCACCTCCTGCAGGGCTAGGGGATGACTGCGAGAGTACCCTCAGAGCTGTGCAGGACAGCACAGGGGTCACACACACAGAGCTACAGCGCCAGATCTCAGCACAGAGCTGGGATCGCATCCCAGCCCAGCACAGAGCTGAGATCCCAGCACAGAGCTGAGATCCCAGCCCAGCACAGAGCTGAGATCCCAGCACAGAACTGGCATCCCAAACCAGCACAGAGCTGAGATTCCACCCCAAAAAGGCCTTTGGAAGGTGCTGGGATCTGACTCCATGCCCTCAGATCCATTTGACAAGCACACTGTGTTTCAGACAGCTGATTTCACCTCTTAGGCCCCACTGGAGTGGATTAGATTTACTGCAACTTTTAAAAGCCTTTGGTGTGACCAGTGCCATGAAATTATTTTACCCATTAATGTTTGAAGAATTCTGAGTGGCTAAAATAATTTTAGGAAGACTGTGCTGCATGAACTCTTTCTGTGATGAATTTAAGTGCAATTAAACGTGCACGTAGAGGGCTGGCTATGATTGATTTGGTGATTCCACTTACTGAGGTTATGTGAAAAGGTAAAATCCTGCCACTGAAGTTGTTGCTCATCCAGTTGATCCTTTCATGGGAAAGGCACTTTGAGTTCAGGCAACAAAAATAGGAATAATGCCTTTCTTCAGATACAGCTTCCTACTGAAACTTCCAGGAACATCCCACTGAAGGTGCAATTGTGTGAATGGGATGGTTTCTGTAGGGGCAGAACCCCTCAGCAGGAAGGACAGCCACACGTGCTGCCCCAGAGCTCCAACATTAACCAATTTCTGACTGTCTCCCGTGAGATTACCTCATGGCTCGGACTAATTAAGCAGGAAGAAGTCAATTGCTCCGTAAGGTCACAAAAACCCATTATGGCTTATATATTGTGATGCACCACGGGTCAGAGAGGCAGGGAAATGACAGTGAGTAATGTGAGGGGCAGGGCCGACCTTTCCTCCTGCAGCCACGGCTGGGAATAAATCTGCTGCTTGCTGGAGGCTGACACAGCCCTGGGCCCATGGATATTGTGTCACCAAGGCCAGGCACAGCGCCTCTCACATGGAGAGTCACTCCAGAAGGTGAGCTGGGCCTGCTCCTGAGCTCTTCCCAAAAGCAGGCCTGGTTTAACCCTGGTTTAACCCTCAGAAGGAGCGCAGGGGAGCACTGGTCAGTTCCTGTAACACCCCAGGAGTGGGGTGTTTGTGAGGAAAAGCTGTCCTGCAGC